TGATAAGTTAATGTGAATGTACACATAATAAATCATGTGTTAATCGGAGAGAACCTTAAAAATGCCATCTAGTTTGATTAAAAAGAATTAATATTCGAGAAAAAAATTAATGTAGAAAAATTGCAACAAGCGAATCGAGAGGAAACTCGACAAAACAATAAAAATTCAAACTGGAAAAAAGTGAGCCTTAATTTAAAGTAAAATAAAAGTTAGATAAAATTAAATGTTTAAAAAAAACAGATCACTGAATATTCGAATCTGAATTATTTACTAAAAAGGGGAGATTTTTTTTGGGGGGGGATATAAAAATCATGAAAATCTAACTTATAAACAAGGAAGTTAAGATATCAGCATGATAAATGATAAGTAATAACAGTTTAATAAAATAACTGTTTAAAATTTCTCCAAAAAGCACTCCTTTAAATTTATATAGTCTCACCTTGTCGAGACGTATGCGATAAGACGTATGCGAAGAATTAAGTGAATAATCGCTATACTTGTTAATCAAACAAAGTACGTAAGAAAGATGTAAAAGACCCTTTTATTAAGAACTCACATAGTTAACAGAAGGAACTTCTTGAGCTTATAAAACCAGGCAGTATTTATGGCGTAACTCAAAAATAAGGAATTGCAAATTAAAACTAAGCTAAGTCGTAGGTTAGCCAAAGGCTACACAGAAATTATCAATGAGTAAGTTGGCTCGAATATATACAGACATAACAAGCACTATTGGCAAGATAAAGCAACGCCGAAGACATAAGGCTATTGTAGAATTTATACTAATAACGTGGCCTTCAGCAGGCAAACACGCTCTGTCTAAACAATGTGAAGTCCCCCTTTAAATACTATCTCTTTCTACCTCCTTTGAATGCACGCGAACTAAAATTAGCATTCTGGCAGAAAAACGGAAAGGAAGAATGACAGTAAAGGTACATAACATAGGTGGCTATCTAAAATAAATAAATATGTTATAAATTTTAAGTTTCAATATATTACCAAATGGAACTTTGAAAGAAACCCAGAAATAAGCCAAACCTTAATTAAATGTACGATACAGTGTAAACCTCGAAGCAGAAAACTCGACTTAGTCCTACCTAAAAAAATAATAACAAACCCGCGTTACATTCAGTGGTAGATAACAAACACTCTCTTTCAAATGCTTGAGGCCCAACAGCGTCCGAGCGGTTGGGCAAGTCGTTGAACACTGGTAGTTTGGTTCGATGTTCGAATACCGCAAACGGGCTGGCTGCATGGGCGTTTCTGCGATTTTCCCCATGTGTAACGTGTATAAGAGCCAGTTTCCCCTTCCCTCCCCTTAGGCAGATAGCTCCTGAGGCTTTGCCGTAATTACATAAACCAAACCAAACCAAACCAAACTTTCAGCTGCATGCTTATTACAGCGACCACATGCAGCTACACAAAATTCGTCCATTTGGCACATTGCGGAAGGACATCAAATTTTATTACGCGTTCCTTCTTCAATCAAGAACACTAGGCGGGCACATCCCTGTCTTCAGTATTAAGGCAGGAGGTTTGGAAGATAATAAGACTCACTCGGAGATAGAGATATAACGGATTCACTTGCTACAAAAGGGGAATCCAGATGCAAGCTCCGAAGCTGAACCGGCACACCGGGCACTCATCTCACATCGGGTGCGCGGAAACTACGTAAGGGGCTCCATAATTTGGCCGTCGAATTTTTAGGCGAATATTGGGCTACTCGGATGGGTGAAACCACTACCATCCAGGATAGCAAAGGCTGCTGTTTCTAGCAATAGGAAACCAGCTTCACGTTATTGTCCCCTGTCACATTATAATACCAAGCCAGGGTATGCAATCCCAAGAGACATTGTGGAAGGAAAGAAGGGAAAGCGAGAAGTTCCTTTTGTCCGTGTAAAATATTTTTGTCAACCGATGCTATAACTGGAAAGCATGAATAGTCTTTGGCAGAAAGAAAGAAGACACGACAGAGAGCTATCCTTTTTTGTTTTAAAATTCTGATTTTACATGAAAGATGTAAATTAAAAATAATTAATAAAGATTTTTCTGCATAATTTATTTAAAAATAATAACTCTTTTTTTTCACAATTTTAAATTTACTGGCATGCACCGTATGCATTACATATTCTAAGAAAACGCCATTGGTTCAGACCACCTAGCACTGATTTTCCATTTCCCGCCCTTTTTTTTTAACTTATTACCTGCTTCGCTCTTAGACACTATACGGAAAAGGAGGGATGCCCGTGGAGGTCTTTTTATGGGAAACTGACTTGTAACCAAGTTGCAGATAGGGGAAAACCGCGAAAACCCCCATACAGCAAGCCCGTTCGCCGGGATTCGAATCCCGAAATAGTGTTCAGCGGCTTTTACCGCTCGACCGCTGGTGGGTCTTTTCCGTTGCATTGATTGTGTTTTATCGGAAACCTTACTTTTCTAAAGAAAAAAAACGTAAGGTGTCTGACAAAGGGAAAAAAGAATGTAGCATATTTCTTTTACTTACATTTAGTGTATTTTTATATTGTAAGGTTTATCTTAACTTTTCTAACAGTTAATTCTGAGTTAAAGTTACTTTCCTGTCTTACCTTAATTTCAGCTCACAACTTCTGGCTAGAACGTATTTTTTAGAATCGCGGTTGAACGAAAATGAGGAGAAGAAGTATTCAGCTGTGAAGTTCTACTGACTTCGTTAGAGAGCCAGAGATTCTGATTAGCGTGCGTTAGCCTTTTGGCGATACTCTCTCACAAGCTATTATTACGCTCGGCCGTATTTTAGGCCCTTGATAGCTTCACCGTTAACTAGCGTTAAGAGGCCAACTCTGTTAGAATCTTAATAGCTGCAGCTATATCTTTTTAGTTAAGTTTTATTTTTTAGTTTCTTGAGTTCAAGCCTGGAGGCTTTGTTGTAAACTCCAAGAAGGAGTCGTCTGTGAACTTTATTTGGAATAATAAAGCGTATTTAACCCTTCTCGAGTTCTGTTCTCTATCTACTGAACTAAAGCGATTATTCGCTTACCTATTCTTAAGGTTCCTCACTTTAGTTGTAAATTAGAAGACAGGAATCTTACAATATAAATAAAATCTTTTCCAAAGCTATTCCAATTCAACTATTGCCTTAATAATTTTTGTGAACATAAATTTAAAAATTAAACCTTTTAAAATCCATGATCATTATTTTGAAAATTACGTTCATAAGACTTTTACAAAGTACGGTATGTCGGAATAACTTAAACGCATTTTTCAGAGCACCGTGAACTGGAAAACAAAAACCGAAAATCGCTGGCTAACCCAAATAAATAACAGGAACTGTTTTTGTTATGACTTATTATATAAGTATTGCAGTAGGTTACAAAACCTTCTTATACTCTCAAATCCGAAACCAGTGTTATTATTAAATCCTCTTATCCCCCCCCCAGCACAAGTGAAATTATCTCACTTTTATATCCAGTGAAGCTTGTTAAGGAGAAAATGGTCACGAAAGGTTGCTTATGCAAATCAAACTGAAGGCTAGAATAGCTTTACGCAGGACGAATTAACAAATTCAACAGCAACGCATCACGGAATAATTAATGGAACCGAAACCAATTGTACGCACAATTGTTACTATAGTTCAGCATAACAAATATGGATATAATTTAATTTATATGGATTTTTCTTATATGGATATAATTTGGCTATTTAAAAGTTAAAATATAAAAGTGATTTTTGAAAATAGTTGTTGCAGTTATGTTCGAATAAATTTAACTAAAATATTTATGTAAATGGCAAAAATAAGTTTCCTCAATCTCAAAAATGAAGACGAAATATTAAGAGTTTCTAAGAATTTTTTTAATACAGGATTGAAGAGAAAAATATTACCTGTTATACTACTTTTAAAACAATGATCAATTCAAAGATATTTAGGGAATTAAAATCTTTATTTTGAAACAATTTGTAAATTGAATACACGGTATTCATTCAGAAGGAATACAAATGTTTCATATGGACTGTGGCTGATAAATCATACTATAAATTTCTGCCATTTATGGCATATTTCAGCCACATATAAGCCAATATGCTACTAAAACTATGATCATTACAAGTAACAAGATTGTATTAAGTACCATCTTCCAGCACGGGATTAATTGTTATATTGGTGCTTCTCTAGGAGTTTGAAAAATGTCTAAAGTCTTTTATAAAGAGAAATGATCAAATGCTGGAGCCAGATCCATTATTATGGGAAAATTCTAAATAACAAAATCTTTAACTAAACCCATTTTTATACCAAATCTAGTATTTCTCAAGTAATGATTTCGCAATGGTCTCATATCTCTGTTCCCAAACGACATTCATATATAAAAAAGAGACTCCGCAAGAGATAATGATACTTATGCTTCAAAGTCGGTACAGAAAACAAAGTTAGGCTCTTCCCAATTTTGATCTTACTTTCACAAGTGGGAGAAAGGTGTCATAAAGAGAGTACTTGCTTTTAAGCAGACTAGTAAACTTGTTATGCCCTACCAATTGTTCTAATTTGCATGGCAGCTACTGACCTACATACGCCAAGTATATACTAACTAGCGAAGCTGTATTGCTCGAGAGCTGATTATGTGGCAAAGCACCACTTATGATATTCCAAATACTGATTGCGGTAGCGTACTGTTTATCCTGACTCTAAATAACATCAGTGTAACTTACATTAACATTAATACTGATTAAATGGCAATACATTGTTTATGTTAGATCTCCTTCCTGCACTGAAAGATTGATATTGCATCACTGATGGAATTAAAAGCACATTCTTATCTTATTTTAAAACGGAGGAAAAGTGTTGACTTTTCCAGAAAGCCACACGAATGTTTTGCTTTTAGTTGAAAAGTCAGGTACGTATTTTTTGACAGTAATACTTCTTAGATGTATTAATTTTCAGTTTCGGCAGCTTACAAAGGCAACCTTCAAGCTTGTTTACATTCCCCGTCTAACCAAACGGATACAAATATAACAAGAAAGAACACAAAACAAAATAATACAAAATTATTTCTTTATTAAAATTATTTTTCACCAGTAAAATAATGCTGCCTCCTCATTTCTAATAAAAAACAGCGAAACTAATAGCATGTTGAAAATAATAAGAATTATTAATATCAATAGTTAAAAACATATATTACATACCAATATATAATTAGCAGCATCTACAATACGCAAAGTATCGGGTAAAACATAATCTACACAGACAAGTTACAAACTATAATTCACAAAAATAATGCAGGAACTATAATTTAAACACAAAGAAATTAAATGGAATCATCACAGATACGTTGCTAATTTAACACGTGGCACACAGCATATGAAACTTTGCTATGGATCAGTGGTCTTCAAACTGTGTTCAACGGAACCCCGGGGTTTCGTGAGTCAAAGCCTGGGGTTCCGCGAATCGAAATAAAAAATTCGAAAAGAAAACTATAAAGCACTCACACTAATTAGTGTTTATTACGTAAAATTAACTAAAAGATGCATTTAGTTATCTTTAAAGGGCTGTTCCCATTGAGGTTTACCTGAGCTGACCCATCTCCATTCCATTGAGCCGGTCCATCTCCAAAACCAGTTTTTTTATCCATAGGGCAGCAAGTTGAAGAATCTGAACTGCAGGCATAGCGGAGCTAGTCGACACATGGAACTGACTCCATTAGCTCAGATAAAGCCCAGTGGGAACGGCCCTTAAAATGCAAGCACACCCCAGTCACTACATATGACGCAAGAGGTGACATCTGGAGCACGAATTAATGCTGTTAATGAATAAATTACACTAATTTTCATGTAAAAAAATTTTAATATAAAATATTAATTGTCGTCACACAAAATACCATAACATATTGATTTACTTTAAATATTAGTTTAAGATGTATTTTTCTAACGGTGGGATGGGGGATCCCCGAAAACACCTTATAGTTCCATGAGTTCCGGGAGTCGATAGACCTAGTCTTCCTGGTATTAATTAGTAAAACACATTAATAAACGCATTATTAGCAAACAATAATCTATTTTCACTGTAACATCAATTTTGACTGTAATATCAATTCGCAGTTTGTTATCTAGGTTTCCAAGTCAATTCAGTTAAACAGATTCTTATTAAGAAAAGCAAAGAAGAGAAAGATGAAAAACATTCCATATTAAGCAGAACATTAAACTTTGACTAAAGAAACCCCTGACAAAAAATCATTTAACATAAATCTCTTTTAACTGGTTCCATACCATGTGTTCCATATGAAGAAACCAAATTGAAGCTCAGTGATCTAACCAGAAATTAAACGTTCTCGTTTGCATTCATAAAATTTAACGTAAATAAAGAAAAATATTAATATGAAAAACAAGGATGAAGGACACAGATTCTCAACATTCGGTAACAAATTAAAATGACAAAAGTCACTCGTTTAATTAGTCTTAAGAAACCTAATATAAATATTTGTTATCAATAAACAGTTTGCATTACGATTTCTTGTTAAGGCACTTGTTCGATTCAATAAAATAATTATCATTAAATTTAAAAAAATCATCGAGAATAAGACTACATCAAGAAATGATTTTCTAGGTAGTTTAGCACATCTAAAACTGTTAGCCGTACTGTACAAAACAGTTAAATATATTCGACGAATTTAATTATTTAATACCGCAAAACATATGAAGGCTCTCTGCCGAAACCAGATGAAATAGGTTCTAGGAAATAACCCTTTAATCCAGTGAATTTTACAGTTACATATACATATAAAACGCCATCCTAAGATCGAATATTAAAAGTCTTCGCTCCCTAATTTAAATGATTTAAAACGTACTTTCATAATTTCATTGCACCACTCCAGTCCACAATGAAAATTAAAGATATCAACAGTCCTGTCAATAGTCAAATTGTCAACAGTCTCAATCATGAAGTTCCCATTAAAATCGTCTTCCATATGAACGTCTGAGCGATCACATTCTAGCTTTTCAGCAGTGAAAAATTGATGTAACCAAAGGTTGTCTATCATTTTCCACTCTTCCCCATATGAGCTCTAATTCAGACGAATTAATTAAAACAAATCCGCTGCTTATTCACACATGAAATCAAGGTGAATTCCCAAATTCTCAAATATCACATTAAAAATATTATAAGCAAAACGCGTACTACAGTTATGGATTAGATGTTCATTATAGGCAGGAAATCAATATCAAAAGAATACCTCTTCTTTAATATGGATAGGAATTCATTTTGAAAATTATTTGGGCAATAATCGATAATGCATCCCTTACTTAGTTTACTGCCTGTGCAATTTAAAGTCTTCAGACTTATCAAAAGAAACCTTAGGAAATGTGTGTAGTTTTACGCGTTATGGCTAGAAATTTTGATGCAGTAAAAAATTCATGTGTCCAGAAATCAGTATATTAAACCTCAAACAGCTTGCAGAAGAATTATAAAACATAAAATCGTATTCTAACACCAAAATATGATGTATTTATGACCAATTACTCTGTTTGCTTGCTTATTAAAACTGTGCCTTAAAGAATCTGTTAAAAATAGTTTATAACAGAGACAAAAAGAGCTTACTTCTAGTGTAACACAAGCTTTACGTAACAGTTCCTGATGTTCTGAAAAGTAACCCAAGAATATCGAAACAATTGACCGTTAGTATCAAATGAAAAAAATCAAATGATAATTATCAAATGAAAAAAAAATTGTGTAACGCAAGAACACAAATAAAATAATGCATAACTAATAGGAATGCAGTGCTTAATCATAAGCACTGCATCTATAAATACCTTAACAAATGGCATCAAATAAAATTTTTCCAAGATAACTGTCATGTTTACACCCAAAACCATAACTACTGAAGGACTAAATTCCGTGAACTGTTTTACTGATAAAAGATAAGAAAGAAGTGAAGTCAGTTAAGGCACAACCTTAGAATGAACACACATTGTTGTTCTATCCGTAAAATTAAAAAAAAAAAAAAAAAAAACTTAAAAAAGAAACAATTATTTTGTGTTTTTTGATATTAATGATGACTAGGCATATCTTTACAAACAGTAAAATTCATTGAAAGCGATTAGGACTAATATCTAATAAAAAATGTGCAATGTTTAACTGCACTTTAAAAATATTAATTTACCAAACTTATTAATATAACTTGCAAGTAAAATATTCTGAATATCATTCGGAAAATTTATTTGATATTTAAAGAAAAACTGATCGCAGAGATCTCCTGTAATTTCAATAACTATTCACTCTCAGTCATATACTTACATTATCATCAAAACAAAACACAAAAACAAAACATGGAATAAAATGTTTCATATACTAAAAACTACATCTAATGAAAATTAATATTTATTACATAATTGCAAATATTTATACACCGGTCTCCCACATTAAAATACCAGAAATTCATCATATCGCAATATAAAACCGTGTCATGTGCTGTAAAAGGACATCACAGGAAGCAAAGGTACAAATTTTCCAGAACACTGTCTATTTCCGTCTCGATGCAACAGGTCCTTTCTTGTTCGACAATATATTCTTGCATTTTGGAATATGCCTTTCCGCCACACCTTCACTGAACTTACGTCCACAGTGTGGGCAAGGAACATAATGGGAGGTGTCCGATGGAGGAGGAGGGGGCAGGTCGCTCACCTTGCCCCCTTTTGCCAAATGTTGTTGCACCATCTTTGCCTGGCGGATAGCCTCAATGAACTCGTTATGCTGCTTACGCCAATCTGATTTTTTGGGCTGAAAAATAGAAAAGCCATCACATAAACTACTTAGAAATGGAAAGAACTAATTTAAATAAATGAGTATCAATTAACGTTACTTCCAAAAATTACCCCTAAATACCAAGAAAATGTGCGATGTCCTTAACATTTCAGGCAGCAAGCGCAGATCAATTTACGCGTCCAAGTTATTCTTTAAATAAAGCTGCAAACATTTTATAGAGCATTGATTACGTAGATAAACTACTGTTTACTGCTCATAAACAGCGAAATGGATTAAAATTAAACAAGAATCTAAGAAACTTGAAGTGGCCTTTAACTTTTATATGAATATTTCAGAGAAGTTAAGATACATTCTTTTTAACAGTATAACCTTATAATCAAAGAAAGTCAGATATCTTGTTCTTAAAATTTATTATAACGGTTCTTGAATCGATTTATAGTGCTCAGAGTTTTTAAACCTTAAAAACACGTATGTTTAAGCCAGTGATTCCAAAAATTTCATAACTATCGAGCTCTGAATAAAACTTTTTACTTGCCCTCCAATGTAACATGTGCGTTTTAATGTAATTAGGATTAAGAAACTCAACAAACGATTTTTTTATCATAAAGCGTAAGATAGAATAGGCTGGCAGGCTACTCTGAACCCAAACTCGAGCAATAATTGATATTAAATTAATGCTGACTTCATAGAAAAGGTCTTGTCATTCTGAGGACTTTTTCCAAGACAGCTCCTTTTTCAGAAAGTACTATTCTTGCTCCAAAATATTTATGTGTTTTGAAGGAGTCTGACCTTTGTCAAGTCTTCTAAGAATCAAAATTCTCTTCGAGAGGCAAAACTGTTTCTTCAAGAACCAAATATTTTTGCTACTTGAAGATAACGAAATTGTATTGATTTACTTTGAAATGCACATAGCTTTTCTATAAACCCCACGATAAACTAAGATTAAGTCCTAAAAATGCAGTATAATAAGAATTCATAATAATATTATTGACATGTGCAAAACTCTTAAAATTCAATAATATTTTTAACAAAATGAAACAAGTTAAAAATTTTATTTTATGTAACGTTATATTTCAATGTTATATCTAAACGCTATGCATTGCCATTTCTACCAAATAGTTGCGTCGAAGTTATTTTAATTCTTGACTATATGGCACTAATTTCTTGATCATTTAATTTATTCGCCAAGTTCTTGAAGGGGCTTACTATAAATTATGATTAAAATCTAACTCAGCTACATAGCAGAATGGAACATATTTTAAAAGTATTTCATCTGCCACACGTATTCGGGATTTCTCACATTGTCACAAAGTAAGAAGCATTATCAACCTGATCTCTCATCTGAAGTACCTCTTACAACAAAGTTTTAATACGAAATAAACCACAATTAACTACAAGTAGCGTTTAAATTACTGTACGCTCAATGACATGCATCATACACTTTTCAATGGCATAGCTAGTTTCCCACTTCAGCTCATTCAAATATAACAGAAATTTCTAATTCTACTAAAATTATCGATAAGATACCAAGCAACATTCACCTTTTCAAGGATTCAAAAAGATTCCTTTATGTTACTGCTAGAAATTATTAATGCATTCGGTCAATAATACTTAATTTCGAAGAAATAATGATCTGATTGCACACAAAAATTAATTTTATTATATTGTGAGAAATTATCTATTCATTTTTAACTAATAGTTAATTTTAAGTTTTAGTGCTTTGCTGTTACTCTTTTTTTCGCCCATACTTTTCATGCCGGAATGTAAATGAGATAGCGAGCGTTTATTCAGATTGATGGAGATACAGTGCTATTTAAGCGAAGGTTGCGCAAGTTATTTTAAGAGTGTGTTTTGCCTATTTCAGGCCACGTTATAACGTGAATATTAGCTATTTGATTCTGTGGCGGTGAATGCTTCTAGCCATCTGGCTTGTCTCGCCGGTTTTCTACATACCAGATCCTTTACTGCGCGTTTAAATTATCCTGCCAGCCGTAAGACTAATCCATTGCATTTGAATTAGTTCAACATAATGTATTTAAGCTAAGCCAGAAGTGTTTGGCTTGTGTAAACCCAAGTGGGTCATTGTTTTTCTTTGTGTTCAAATAAAATGGCTATTTACATCCTTTTTCTGACTTTGTCTGTCTACAGTTTAAGATAAGATAATTCCTCTATAGTCTTTCTAGAACTCACTAGTTTGTGCTACCAAACAAATTGAGACTCTACAATGTAGTCTGTATTAGCATATGGACATTTTAATCAGCATCTTTGATTGCAAATCATAAGCAAGAGTTGTACTTACTTTGGGTTCTGCTTTAGGCAGTCCCTTCTTGACGAATTGTTCTGCTTCTGTACCTTTAACACGCATCTTGGTGGCGTCAAATACCTTCACTTTTTTCTGAGACGCTTTTTTACAGATAGAAACATGTTTTTCGATTCGATCCTCATTGAAGTTCCGGCCACACACTTGGCACTGCTTCTGGCCAGGACCCGGAGGTTTCCGGCCAACTTCGCCACCCGATGCACTTCCACCAACTTGAGAAGTGCGAGTATTTGGCTTGGAACTTGGAGCTGGTTTGCGTCCTGTGGCTACGGTAGGCTATAAAAATTTCAAGGATTTCCATGTTCATTATTTTGCATTTTAAAGTAAAATGAGTTAATGGTGTAATATTTATAGGAGAACATTTTATAACTAGATAAAATTTAGTATAGATAAACTAGATAAAATTCGTTGTAAAGTAGGCAAATGCTGCACAAGTTTTGAAATATTTGAAATAATTTATATCTAACAGAAAACAATCTAATGCAATATTTGTAATTGATGATTAAATACTAATACAAAAATAAGAAAAATTCTAAAAATCTGATGTGTACACCACATGACTTCCTTGTATGGCCTATTAAGTTATACATTTTTTTGCTGAATTTCATTTAAACCTATTTCTTCGAATTTCATTAGAGCTATATTTCTCATTCAATTAATTCAGTTCGCGGCAAACCAAAAATACATAAAATCTCAAAACATCTTCATTAAAAATTTTAAAACACAGAAAAACATACAACACCAAATACAATTTAAACAGTTAAAAAAAAATAATAATTCTAAATTAAAGTTAGAATTGCTACATAAAAACAAGCAATTCGGCCAGTGGGTAAGAAGCAGAATTTTCGGCGCGCAAAACCGGAAGTTTACTTTTTAGTCCCACTCGGCAAAAAGGCATTGATTGTGCAGAAACTAACTTGATTCACTGTTCCGCTGAGTTTCAAATGTAAACAAATAGCGGCTCATTAGGCTTAACTCGCCATTTAAACTTTTAAATTGTTAATCCTGAAACTATTGCATGCAGGTTAACAAAAGACATAAAAATCTAAACTGAAACATAAAAACCACATAATTCAATCACTTTTAAAGCAAAAAATGCACAACTTACTAACATATAAAAAGAAACCAAGCTCAGCGGACCAGGTAACAAAGTGGGAATATATTTATATTTATTTACATACGACTGGTGCAGCCGATTACAACGAAAAAGGAAGGTGCACAGTTACATGTTATAGTAGTCCCATAAAATACAAAATTTCAACGTTCTACGGCAACTCGTTCTTGAGTTATGCGAGATACATAAATACGTACGTACAGACATCAAGGGATAAAATCTCTTCTGAATCCATTTTAAATCCCTTGTACAACCCTTTTTAGTAAAAACAATCTTTTATTCTATCCATATATACAGATGTCACGCAAAAGCATGTTTCAAATTGTTTCGAGAGTCGTTGAAATATGATACCCGAAATATTTCGCAATTACAATACTCCCTTTACTTCGTACAATGAAGTAAAAATGGCCCATCATGCTCTACTAAAAATACAGAACAGCACTGTGAACTTAAGGAAAAAGGTCCTCCGATACTGTTATAAACGAAGTGTATTTGTATATGAAACTATTTCAAAAACAAAAAAACAAAAAATAAATAAACTTATATTGAAGACTTCTAAAATATAGATGAAAAGTATTTAAAAATTGCACAATCACGATCTTTCTCTCCTTAATCACGATGAAGGAAAAACTCACATGCTAAATGATGTTCTTTCGAAAGTCAAGGACCTTTTTCTTAAAATTAAATGCAGTCAAAGTTTGGATTCTACCTAATTTTAAAGTTGGAATGCTTCTTTTTTATATTTGCATCATTAAGTTACATTTGATCAATGTAGTAGAAACAAAGTTTAGTTATTTTCTAAGTTTTATCAGCATGATAAGAATGATAAAATGAAATGCAACTCATTTGAAATTTACTGAAGTATTTGCTCCTAGCTTGTGAGAACAGATAAAAACTGCAAATCATGGTATATCGATGTTTGCAATCTTTTTTTTATACTTGGATCAGCAGTTACGTTCCAATTCCAATGTCCAGGTATAATTTTGTTTTTAAATAAAAAGCTTTCTTTGTTAGAAAATGAATGAATCAAGTGAACTATTTCCTATATTTAATACATTATTCTTTTCTAAAAACAAAGCTAATAATTTGCAAATACAGTAGACATTTGAGATTAACGTTCTTTTTAGATCAGAGGCATTAAAATTATTAAAGAAGACTCAATTTTTTAATTTTAATAAACTATTATACATTGCTTTAAATAACATTTATGAAAATGAAGTTGGGAACTTTTCGTCTTTACTGATATCGCAAAATCTAATAATAAGTCTATTTATAGGGGGTAAATCTAATAAATTTAATTGCTAAAAAGCCCTTGATTAACCCCTTTCATCTATTATGGTATCCATAGAAGGAAAGTATATTTAAATTATACAATTGGCAAGTAACGGAAGGTAACTACGCAGTTACACTTTTTCAACCAACTATCAAACATCAGTTTTTGTAAAAAATAAAATAAAATAAAAAATAATAATAAAAAAAAAAAATAATTCACATGACAAAACCAACTCACATACTGAAAATCTTTTACAACTCAACATTTTGAATTACAAGCGGGAATATCACAGCAGATTAAGTAAAGGCGTGGCATAATGTTGTACCATGTTTAACTAACTGTTATTTATTTCATAACTGTCATTTATTTTCAAAGAAATAACAGGTTTTTAAATTATTTAGTTTTACGTAACTCTGAGTTTCTTAGTTACAGATTTAGCTTTTTCAAGCATTTATGTTTCTTCTCTGTACAACTGAATAATTCAAAAATCACAAGATTTGGGTCATTCTGTTTTTAGGTGATGCTAGTGGTCTAACATTTAGACAACAGCAGGCTACCGAAGTAAGAAAGTTGGAGTCTGCCGCAACCGGATTTCGTTTTGATGAGAAAAACCACCAGTCAACTAGGTGAATCTTGATTATAATGGTAGAAACATGCATCACTATAATCTTCTTTTCCTGCTGTCCAGTATTTAAGGTCATTATCCTCTATTCATAGTACCATAAACTAGTTGGCGCTTTTTCTCTTTTAAGATGGTTATTGTACCACTCCGTACAGAAAGTCATTTTAACTTCATAACAACTCTTACACCAATGCTATATATTTTCTTTTATCTACCTCATTTCCTTCGACAGTCTCACGCTTTTCACGTTCGTAGCTACAGCAGCTTTAATCAAGAAATCTTTCAATCGGATCATTATCCTACACTCTTGTTTTTACATTAGAAAAGAGCATCATTAAAGACAAGGATGTGAAATTGATAGTAAGTGAGACATTGTAAATGGAAGATAATGATTTTCCTGAGTGATGCAGATGCAGTGTCTTCTCATTTACACTGTCACCATGAGAAAGCTTCAGCAAAATGTTTCTTCACAGAGATACAGTAAATAGAAATATAAGTTTTCTTAGCCAAACAATTTTCACGGTGAAATAAAATTTTTAATTTAAAGATATTGCTCAAAACTTATACTTTAATATTAACTCAATTCTGCTCGTCCTTTTCGAAAAGAAAAATACAATTGACTGGTCATAATACCTTGTACGTTTCCCAGTTTATTTAATAACTTTTATTAGATTTGCTATCACTTTCTCTTCCTTATCAATTCAATTCATTCTAGAAGCATGCAAATTTTCGATGGCGCTGCAAGCATCATGATGTAATAATTAGCAGGGAGCTGTGTAACAAGATTTTCCTCGCCTTTTAGTATCTCTACTCACTATTCGACTCAGTACATAGCTTGAGTTCGTAATTGACTGGATCTGGACGGACAAATTCATCTGATCTATCTATAAATACTAATTTCTTGAGATGGCCTTTCAGTTTAAAACTTATTCAGTGAATTTAACTGATATCCTAAAATAATAAATTTAAATGTTAATAATTTCTCATAATAGTTTAAACAGTATTTTAGTCTCTTCAAAATATCAAAGGAAACTTAAATAAGTAGTGTTGTGTTATCTGTAAACTGCAGATTTTTAAAACAACTTAGGTGATCTTGTATCTATTACTTTACTCCTAACTGAACTAAGCGAGCCGTGATAAGATTACTGAGGTTAAGAGATATGGTGATTACTGAGGTTGATATGTAAAATAAATCATAATTTGGCTTTGACAACTTAGACTTACCTGAGCTTTAGGTCTTGGCTTCGTTGCTGTAGTATAACTTACAGGCGGCTGGTTAGGTTGTTTTTTCTGTTCAGTGGAAGACTTGGTTATTGTTCCAGTATAACCATTTCTGGGCGGTGTATCTTCACGAATCTGCAAGAAAGAAAACGTAACATTTAGGAAGACGGATAATCCCTAAGAATAAAACTAAACCCTATCCGTTATTTTCCATGTTTTACATATATTTGTTTGATAATTAAAGCAAATATTATTTTGCAGTTCGAGATTTAGATGCTTTATTAGATTTTTGAAATATCGCATTTTGAACATGGATATATAAAACAAATGTATATAGCATTTTTTATGTAACATAATGCTTAACTTCAACAATGACAAATAATAACAGAGTTTTAGCACAGGAGTTTCCATAAACGGTTTAAAAAAACAATATTAAAAAAAATCTTAAAGCTTTCAGATTTTATATTAAACCCAAATGGGCGTTTTTTCCTTTACAGATACATACACGTTCCGAGAGTATTTGGGCTAACGCCACACTGTACTAAAAATATTTAAAAATAGCGTATCTTTAGAATTTCCGATAGACAGTCTCGCGCGCTGGACTTAAAAATGTTCCCTACAGTGTTGGTATTGCTTGCTTTGAAATTGTTGAGTTTTTTAATCAAAAATTCGTTCCAGTTTTACAAAATATGAAATAAACAATAAAATGAATTCCAATTTCGGGCTTCCAGGTGCGTATGTTTGTGTGAAGGATTACATTATTCACAATTTGATGAATCTAGTTACCGTTGTTTTTTTACAACGCGAGAAACATACATACATTCATGAGATTCTTCATTATTTAGTTTTTTAAATATAATACAGGACGATAATATTTGGTGGCAACAATTTGAAAAATGATTCGACGCAAAATGCCGTTTTGAGACTAATAGCCCATCTCGGCTAAAGCCTGTTTGGGTTAATAATGTAGCTTCGTTATTTTGTTCGTGATTCTCAGATTCAAATAAATTGGATATTTATAATTCTCTTTCTACCCTAATCCAGCATGAGAAAGACTTTCACAGAAAGAAATCATATTTAATGGTGAAAAATTGCAAGTAATTATACATGGTTATTTTTAAAACGGAATTTGACTCATTTAGTTTCTCAAGAGAAAGTATTCAGAATGGTTACGTTTGCCGAAACTCTGAAACAAAATCAATAATACGCCAATCCAAGTAGGTCATCAAATCATTGTAAATGGATTCAAAAGTAACTAATTCACTAGAGTACTATTCCGTCATTTTGATAACAATGATTTATTTTCAAAAGAGATTATGGAACTAGATACACAAGATAAAAACGCTTTACTTATTTATTTGAAAAACTACGAACGGTATAAAATATATCCAATAATGTGAAATTTATTTTTAATACGAAATCATACTCAGCGGAGCATAATGAACTTAAATAACATACAGAAAATGACTATCTAAATTTCATCACTTGGTGCAATATGAAAAAGAAATAATACAACCATTAAAAGAAAAGAGAAAGTAAAAGCTTTCAAATTTTATATTACGGCCGAAGAGGCGTTTTTTCAACGTTTTGTGTGTTACCTTTATTTATTAAATATCATGTTCTTCGCCCTTAAACTATAAATAAAATTCATTTCAATAACAATACCATAAAAAATATTATATCACACTAAAGAATAAACGTAATTCTCGCATGAAGACGATGTTGTCCAAGTTTTTCTTATTTTTATTCGCAACACATCTGATACATAAACATATTAGATTGCAATATAATCAATCCAAGCTTAATTAGATCCAAGAAAAAGAATAAAGAATAAACTAAGCAAAAAAAATTCTAAATATTTGTTTATATAAGCATTTATCGAAAGGCATGTCAGGAAAAAGATATCAGACGATTGCAAACGCACGATCGCCAGAGATCACATGATCATTTTATTTCAACAATTTCAAAAGTGAACCGACGCAAAATACTAAAACGAAATTAGCAAATTGACCCTTCTGAGCAAATTGTCCCTTTGGGCTAAAAGAACAGAATTGGTAAATTAGATAATGTTATTTTACTTTCGTAAGGTTTATTTTAATTAATACGTTGTTTTTATGTTAATTATTTTTTGTAACTTCATTTTTTACCATCAACCTCACTAGAATGTAAACAGTGAGATATTAAAAAATATAGAAAAGAGGGGGCAAGAAAAAACTTTGTAACACAATAAAAAAAAAGCTTACCCTTCCCCCTTGAAACGCTTCTTTTATTAGCAGAATTTCTTTTGGTGAATATTTCTTTTCAACATCTATAGTATTTACGGTTTTCCTTCTAAATTTAGAAAGTCGCGAATAATTTTAAGTCAGGCTCTGGAGATATTAAAACATTTTTGTACAGTGCGCAAAAAAAAGGACAGTTCGATATCTCCCGTTCTACTGGGCCGATCGATGAAATTCAAATTGCGTTTTTCATGTCTCGAAAGCGCGACTTAGGATATATATTAGATTTATATATATCATTATTTGAATATAAGTATTTTGACACAAAATCGGACTTTTTCTGAAATGATATGCCATTTTTTTTTATATTTCAATTCTACTACTCAAATTACAACCTGCCAAGTTTTGTAAATATCGCACGAGTCGTTTTTAAAAAATTAGCTATCAAAATTTTAGCTCCTTCATGTTAATTGAGTTTGGTACATATTTATTAATATTTTTTATTAAACTTATTCTATTCTTTTTTTTTTTTTTTTTTTTTTTTTTTTTTTGACATTTCGAAATTTAGGTCGAAATTTAGATATAAATATTCTTCTTTAATATCACTAACATTATTCATCTTGTCTCTGTCTATTTTTCAATGTATGATGCAAACATTTTAAAAGAAAACCAATATTATATTGTCGTTTTAATTTCTTTACATGTTTTATAAGCTAATTACATGGAAAGATTGGTTTTCTTCATAAAATAAAGAGTGAAATACTCTCGTTCGCGGAAACGTGAAAATTTGTAAGACGAATAATTAGGAAATACGCCAAATATAAAATTCTTCATTTGATGAGAGATCTTTATAACAGCTTTCGAAGATGAGAATACTTTACAATTTAATCCTTATGAATGGAAAGGTTATGATAAAACCTGAGCAAACTTATTTTCCCATCTTTTAAATGTTGCTGAATCATCTCCATTTTATGACTATTTAAAACAATCTACTCTGGAACTTATAATTCAATATGATAAACTGCCTGGAATTTATTCAGATAAACGCATGAAATAATAAAACTTACCAAAATAAGTCATACCTCTTATTATGATTGTTGTAGAAGTATATATAATTCAAAATCACTTACTTTTACAAGCCATCAAATTCTTTAGTATCTTGTAGAGACAGACATTAGGATATTTTTTTAAAGCAGGAAAGATGAAAAATGAGTAACGCTTTCTCCGGGAATCGAACCACGTACCTCTGGAATACGCGCCCAGCGGGCTGACCACTACACTACGAAGGCTCGCTAAGAAGGCGGAAGGCGGAAGAAATACCCCTATATACTCTCCCTTTTAAAGGGCGACTGGGGTTTTTAACGGACCCAATCGCCAAATCCTGAGTGAGAAGAATCATCATCCAACACCCTTTTAGTTCGGGCGACACTGTAGAGACATTAGGTATATTTTTGGAAGCAGAAGAATTGAAAAATTAGCAACGCCTTCCCCGGGAATCGAACCGCGGACATCTCAATTACGCACTCAGCGTGGTGACCACTACACTACGAAGACTCGCTAAGAAGGCGGGAGATATACCTTATAAACTGATGTCCTGTATTTTAATCTTCTAATATGTGCTTCCTGTATTTTATAGCATGGCTTGAAAGCGATGATAAATTACGTAATAATGATTAATAAAATGTATTAAAAGAAATGTGCGAGTGGTATCATTTTCAGTCAAATGAATATCAACAAATTATCCAACATCGAACAAAGGAAAATAACCCTAAAGCAAATGGTAAATGAATATGCGATAAAGATGCTTATTTCAATACAAAGGGAAATTGTGGACAGAAAGTTTAAACCATTTTAAAGAACTAATGTTTGGACTGATTTTTGATACACAACAAACTTGAACTAGGCGAAATGAAAGTCTCCTAAAATTAACAGATTCAGTTTTTTTACAGTTAAGATTTTCATACTATATTGCTATTACGTAAATCGCTTTTCCATGATACTTATTACATGTAATTAATCTATTAGCATCATATATGTTTATTATAAAAGGTACAGAATTTTCCTTGCATTGTTATTATCAAATTAATAGGTACAAATTTGCATGACAGTTTAGCTTCTACCTGTCTTCATTAAAGCCTTCGTTTAATTATATTTAACAACAAACATGGACCCATTAACTAAATGCGAAGAAATAAATTATTTCAGAATACATTATATTCATGATGATAACAGACTGATTCTTCCAAAAGTATTTTAATTTCGCAGCTGATATCTTTGCGTGCATTAATATTATTACGAAATGTCCAGACGTGGTAGGATAGCTTCCCCACAAAGCAGGTTTAGGGTTACCAGAAAATGGCAAGGTAAGGTAGGGTTGCCATATTTGGTGAGAAATTGCCCATTTAGCGACAAAATTAGCGATATGTCATAGACGGATGGAGAACCTTCTGGAACGAATTCTTACTGGTATGGACCAGAATGATCTCGAAGGCAGCTTAAAAGCTATACAAACCATGCCTGTACGCGAAGTAGGAGTCAGTCAGTATGAGTGATTGAGTGTCCCGTAGTCTAGTAGCGAGCTGATCGTCAGTCTATCGAGTTGATCGCGAGTTAGTGCATCGTCGAGTTTTATCTTGAGCTCCGAGAACGACGGAAACGAGTCGGGAGCTGTACTCTAGTGCTTATCGTCGACTGCATCTCGAGTTATACCGTGGAGAGTCTCGAGAGTACGTAGAGTTCCGAGAACGACTGAACCGGGAGCTGTACTCTGGTGAAATTGTCTGAACCGTCATAACCTGATAGCATGAAGGCTGCGTCGCTGATTGTTTCAGCGTGCTTGCAGGGCCGGATAAAGGGCGATTGGAGCGATTGGGCCGCGCATTTGAAAGGGCCCCGCGTTACCATCAAAATGAACAA